CTCCCTCTTCTTAACCTGGTGCCTTGTCCTTCCAAGCCGTGGACATCACCAGGGGATCCGAGAAAGCTCTGGACACTGTCCCTGCCTGCTACTGAGCGCATCCCAGGGGTCCTGAGTGTCCCTGCCCTCACTGTCGTCCACTGCAGGAACTGCAGTCCCAGCCCCAGCTCCACCTCAAGAATCACCCAGCCCTTGAAGACGCCAGGACCTAGGCCTGGCCTTGGCCTCACTGGGGGAGCCCTGCTTCCAGTGAAGAAGAGCTCTCGAGCCCCCGACAGGCCTCGGTCACAGTCACAGGTGATGCGCTGTCGAGGTCTGCACGCAGCTTCGTTTTCATAAAATCTACTCTCAGCAATAATGGCTCCTCCTTCTACCTGCTGGAGGTGTGAGAATGTCAGTGTGAGGCCTACCTCATTGTCTGTAAGACTGTGTCTCAGGGATGAGGTCCTGCAATCGTGTGGATGATGAGGGAAGGGTCCGGGATGGCGCTTCCAAAGACAGGGTGGAAGATGGGGGTCCTTGTGGGTGTCTGTGGACCCTGTCCCTTGGTGGGAGGGACAGTGGCACCAACCCACAGCCCTCCACCCCATCCCTTCTCCTGCAGCCTCCCGTTGGGGTCTAACGCACCGTGCGGGAAATCACGTAACTATGTGGACCGGAATGGTTTGCACACTCAGCTGGCACTTCCACATCTCCCAGCGCCCTACCCACACCTGCATGCCTTCTGGGCAAGAGGCGAGCCCCACCTATCCCGGGAGCCTGACCATGTGCCACTCAGGGCAATTCGTGCACAGATAAAGGAGGAAACGCCCCAATTAATTTTGCAACTTTAATGTAACACTGATACCAAAACATGAAAGCACGACAAAAGTACACAATGAAAGCAGGAAGAGCAAAGAGAGCTTCATCTGGCATGCCATCTTCCATGGGCAGGTAGAAGCTGCCTAGAGTGCTACATTAAGGAGGGATCTGAGGAGGCACTCTGGCTCGGTGAGTGACGGCTGCAGCTCATCAGCGTTGCCTGTCCACACAAGACACAAAAGCGAAAACAGAAATATACATACACGTGAAAACAGTGACGGATGTAAAGAGCAAAACAAGTGTCTCTCCACACTCTCCTCGTTCCCCCACCCCACCCCAGGCCTTTCCCTGTCTTCTCGCAGCCCCTCCATACCCACTCCTTCAGAGTCTCATGTATCGACCAGAAATCTTACTGGATCCAGGAGAAGAAGTTAGCACTCGTTCTGGCGGCATTTCTGGTCCGGATGGTGGAGCTGGTGCTAGGGCCATCTAGGATGCTGGTGCTGGCCCCACCACTGGTGCCACTGCTGACGCCAGCTCTCCAAGTGGCTCTCCTGTTGGCACGGCTGCTATTTAGAATGTACTGATGGTATCTGGCCCAGAAAGCAAAGGGGATCCTGGCCCAGGCGTCACCAAAATCTCCGTCCTCATCCCAGGTCAGGAGCTCCACCTGTATGTCGTCCCAGCTCCACCGTCCAATCAGAGCTTCATCCCCGATGTTCATCTGGGCCCTCATCTGGGCCCTGGCATGTTCCTCAGCCATATCCACATCCATCGTCTTGAAAGCATCATCCACAGCCTCCAAGAAATGAGCTTTCCATTCCCGGGGGTCTCGGTTCTGATTCTGTGATGGAATAACAGCAACCATCCTAACAGCTACCCCACATTCACTGAGCACCTGCTTCCTGCCATACACCCTCCTGTGCAAGGCTTTGCGTAATCATGACAAAAATAAAGACGCCTGGAATTGGGCTCCTATTATTCTGTGCCAGACCTGGGATTTCGCCCCATCCCTCACACCTACTACGTCTGTGAACTTGTCTAAGTTACTTAGACAACCTTTCTGAGCTTCAGTATCCTCACTGGACTAAAACGGCATAAGAATGTTGTGACTGAGAAACAAAGAAGGTATG